GCTTATGAAGTAGCAGTGTTATTTGGCTTTATAGGTAGTCCTTGACTTGACCAGTCATTTAATGACTGTTCAAAAGTTATTAAATTCAAAAAAGTTATTTATGACCTGCCCTTGATGTTTCAGCTGTCACACCAACCCCACGATCACATGACTACATTCTGGGTACTTGAAAACCGGCTTGTATTTACAACCGGTTACAGTGTCGCTGGCCATATATGATTGCTTTTTGCGACTTTTCTTGTTTTCTGTTAAGAAATACTCATTGGACTGGCTGCATTTGGACTTAGGATCATGTGATTTGCTTAGTGACTACAGTGACTTGCTTAACAAATGTAAAAAATGGTTGGAGAATCAAGTCTGGTCACGAGGTAATTTGATTTACAACCCACAGCAACTTATGACAATTCTGGGCTCCGTTGTGGTCACAAGTCAAGGACTACGTGTGCTGTGGAGCGCTCTTGCATTGTTTGGCTCTTGCATTCTGGACCTGCTGAAAATTCTAAATGCTCTTCAGGCATGCAGAGCAGGTCGCAATGGTGCAAGTAGGAGATGACTGAAATATGAGGGACTGTGACCATTCCTCCTGATCTAGGAATGGGTATAGTTCAGTGATGGCGAACCTTTTAGAGACCGAGTGCCCAAACTGTAACCCAAAACCCACTTATGTATCGCCGGGTGCCGGGTGGATGTGGCCCACTCGGCGGGCGCAGCTACAGTGGGTGGGCATGGCCACTGAATGGGTGTGGCTGCAGTAGTCATGGCAGACTGGGTGGGCATAGCCTGGGTGGGCGTGGCCACCTCAATGTTGCTTATGGGGAGGGACACCTGTGGGAGCCGGGCAGGGTTGGGGGAGATCCAGGGGCTCTCTGGTGGGTGGGATGGTGGGCTCCCCATTGGCGGCTCCAGGCTGGCTGGCCTTAGGCCAGTGATGGCGAACTTTTAGAGACCACATGTGCTGGGGCGATGGCGCGTGCCCACAGAGAGGGCTCCGCGTGCCACCTCTGGCACGCGTGCCATAGGTTCACCACCACTGGTATAGTTGGTGCACAAGATGTAATTGGGCAAAGGTCCTCCTGGTCATGGCTGCTACCTGCTTCTTGAATAGGAATTCTGAATCCAGAGGGAACCTCAGATTGTACACTGACTGGTGGAGAGTTACCCCATTCAAAGATCGCTACATACAAGGGACCCTGAGACCCATAGCTATGTGGTCTTGTCAGGGTTGATCTGAAGTTGGTTTATCCCTATCCAGACCCATGTGGATTCCAATCCCTTGACCGTATTACTTGGCAGCTGGGGATAGAGATGTGCAACTAAGTATCATCAGCACAATATCAGGGAGATGTTTCTAGAATGCATACAGTGGGATCTTAGATTACCTATTCCAGAGAAACTGACATACTATGAACACAATCTCTCTCTCTCTCTATTGTATTCTTCATTTATACATACCTGCTAACACTTTAGGTGGTTCTCAGTGCTGATTATGATGCAGTCTTGTTTTTTGTTTTCCATAGGCAAAAGATGCTCTACAGATCACGGAAGCATTGCTTTTTCTGGAGGGATTATTTCGGAGTCTGCTACGTCACCCTAGTTTTTGGAGGACACAATTATGTCATCTTTGCCTGCAGCTTCTGGTTTTCTGTGAGGTTAGCCTGCAGGCCACAGGGGAATGTTCATCTTTAATTGGCTTAATGGAGGAAAATGTTGAGCTTCTGAAAGAGGTAGGCTCTCTGGGGATTAAGATAACTTTTAAAGATGTATTCATATTTAATTGTGTGATGGCCCTTAACTTTTGGCACTTAGTTGTAAGGTTTCTGTTAGTAAGCTGGACTGGAAACAGGCATCACAGGTATTTAAGGACACGAGAGTTGCTAAGAAGTAGATTTATTATAGAAAAACTACGTCATTATATAAACTTTCCCAGCATCTATATACTACTAAATGACTACAACTTTTAACTGGACAAAACTATGCATCTTAGGTCAACAATTTTTGAACCAAGGTAGTTCAAATGGACTAACTTAGAGAATGTGCTCCAAATTCAGGAGCCATGACACCTGAGACAATAAGATTTGGGAAAGTTATTTACTGCTTAAGTATATATTGGGCTGCTGCTGCACTTGCATGATCTTCATTTTCAATATTTGCCGACAGTTTCCTAGGCACTCTCACAATCCTTCAGTCCGTCTCCCATCCAGGAGCAGCCACTTACACAGAGGAGGGGGGAAGGGAGGGAGGGAGAGAAGAAGGAATCAGGAGAAAGAAAGGGAAAGAAGAACAGGAAGGATGGATCTCCACATGTCCTCCAAAACCCACCTCCGTGTACCCCCAAGCACCCTCCCTGAACTATGCTTCCGCCCTGTATTTCTCCCCTGACCCACAAGGCACTTCTTTCACATCTGCGCATACTTTTCCTGAGCCATGCCATCCCCCCATGCGGCACCCTTCACATTTCCTCCTGCAGCCTTCTTACCCCATGCCACCCCCACATGCCTTTTCTGATCCACGATGCTGTCCCTGTGTACCTTCTCCAACCTGTGCAATACAGCTTGCACACCACCGCACATCCTTCCTGAGCCGCATCACCTTTGCACCTTTCCTGACTACGCAGCACTTCTTGCACATGCCCATGAACCCTTCTTGACCTGTGCTACCCCCTGCACGCCATTGTGGACCCCAGGGCATCCTTCTCATCTTGTGCTGCCCCTCCATGCAGATTGCCTGAGCTGTGTAGTACCTCTCTCGTCCACCCTCATGCACCTTTCCTGACCCACGCTGCTCACCCACCCGCCCTTCCCTACCTCTAATATATGTCCACCCTTCCTGACCACCACCACCATCACCACCCAATGTGCCTTTGTTGACCTATGCAGCACTTCTTGTGCATCCCACACATAGTTTCTTATCTGCCACTGCCCCCACTGACTTTCCAACTTCCCACAAGCAAAATAAATGGGGAAGCCAGCAGGAACTTGAGGGAGGGAGGAAGGAAGGAAGATAGATTTCCAGGGCTCCCTGCCTGCTTCCCACAAGGAAACTCGGTAGGGAAGCTAGCAAGAAATTGGAAGCTGCTGTCCCTCCCGCTGCTTTTTTGTCTGCTGGTGATCATGCTGTTTCTTGTATAGATAAGAAAATATCTTTGAAACAATGACCAACTAGGGCATGAGCTGTATAGCAAGCCTTATTTACAGGCAATCCTTGATTTACCAACACAATTGGGCCTGGAATTTTAGTTGATGAGCAATCGATCATTAGCGAGATGTCACATGACTATCCATGTGACTGCTTTACTCAACAATTACGATCCTGGCATTCCTAATCACGGTTGTTAAGTGGATGGATTTCCAGGTAAGGCATGTGGATGGGAGTGGGAAAACCCTGGGAGGTTCCACTCAAGAACTGAAAAGAGTCTGTGCCAAATTCCTACCAGGTTTTTTCAGCCTCTGAGGAAGAACGCTCACAGTCTGCACTGGGCCTCCCAGGTCTTCCCCTATCTGCCTAAAGTACTCTGTGCTGATTATCTTATCACGCTGCCTCTCTGTCCTCTGCTTGAATTTTGGCTTCCTCTCATCTCTAGGGTCTGGGTGAAAGAGCTGCTTCCTGAAGGACGTCACTTCTCCTCGGAGTTTGGGAAGGAACACCGTCGGCTGGGTGGAGAAATGGAGTTCAAATAATTAGGATCTGAGCTCCATTTTTGCACTCCATGGGATGACATCAGTCTTCCTCTACATGCAGAAGGAAACTCCTCCTATGGGGTGCTGAAGTAGAGCTCAAATCATCAGGATCTGAGCTCTGTTTATCCACCTTGCTGAAGGAGTTCAGTGCCCCTTGGTGAGCAGATCTTTCAGCTCCCCGGAGACAAGTCCTTTTGGCCGGCAACTTGCAATTTTCTCTGCCAGCTTTCCCACTGACTTTCCGGGGAAGCCGGCAGAAAAGATTTCAAACGGTGACAGCACGTTTGTGGGGCGTTTGGCCACCGGCTGTAAGTTCAAACAGGTTGCCAAGCACCCAGATCGCGATTGTGTGACTGCCAGGAGAGCGAGCGCTCTGCTGTTCTATGAAAACACCCTTTCCGAGGCCATTGTAATTTTAAACAATTGTTAAACGAACTTTGCTTTGAGGTGTGTCAATTCCTCAGTTTTTTTAAACAGCTGAAATTATCTTTACAAGAAGGCAGCCGTACGCAGCCATAAGAAAAGTATTGTGTTAGAGAAGCGAGGCACAAACCATAATGTATAAAATACATGTTAAAACAGAACAAACAAACAAGTCATGTCATTAGTTTAACACAAAGAGCGAAGCCAGTTATTGTCTAGCTATAGTGTTTCAGGCAACATTTTTTTCCCATCTTCTGTGTGATGACGCTAGGAAATAAATCTGAGTCTTACTGCCTTTGTTCCTGTTGGACACATAGACATTTTTAGTAACGCAGAGAACTACAAGATTCGCTTGTTTACAGATCATGAATTCATTATTTGTAAAAGTTTA